CCGATTTACCAACACAAAGGAAAATTAATAAGAGATATCACACTCTTCGTGTCAAACCATATGGTAAACGCAGTACGAGGTAACTCTCCTTTGCAGTTATTGATGTGACTAAAATGATCTTTTCTTAGAAAAAGCGGGAGGCAAAAATGACTTTGTAATATTTTCACGAAAATACCAGATTCTTTGCATGATATATATTTACCTCAGCCTTCAAGCTCCATCAACCTGAAGAGAGCAGGTACGTGACAGACTACTGAACCAATGATCAAATTGCTTTTCACAATACATAAAAAATTATCGTGAATGGCCTAAAGCCAATGGTTTGAATGAAAACTGTTGGTCGGAGCAGCAGGCTCTAGGAAACTTTTATTTAAAAACAGATATTAATCCATGAAAATGACTACTCCTGACATAGTTAGTAGAGGGGACTGGTTGGGAAACCCGGCGAACTTCAAAGGAGGAACTCTTTGTTCTGATTTTCGAGTGATCACGTGTTCACGACCGTGCACACACACACAAAGCAAGATGGCGTATTGAGTAGCGTTATTCCGTTTGTAGAACAAAATTGTTTGATATTCGGGCGAAAGAAGAATTCGTTGAAATCAGATACTAGAAATATAGCATCCTGGGGAAATTATGCCCGGCGACAACTGCGCTGTGTTTGGCTGTGGGACCAGCAGAAGGACGAAAGGCATTGGAATTTGGAAGTTGCCTGCACCAAAGGACGAGGCTCACAAGAAATGGAGACAAGAGTGGCTGAACGAAATTACAAAGACAAGAGAAAGCGATGCTCCATTTAAAGTCTTAGTAGCGAAGGACAGGATCTTTACCTGCGAAAAACACTTCGAACCTGAGGACGTTGAAATATGTAAGTAGCTCGAACTTGTACGAGCGAGTGTAGACTGTCACGGTGTCGATTTGTGTTTAGATATCAGTCCTGTATATTCTGTGTAGTCGTGTTAGTGGTGCAATTCAGGCGATTTTTACTAGACATTGACTGTATATGGGGTTTTTCCATCCATTGTATCGCCGTTAAAACTTGGCGTGTAATTTTTTTATTTTGTTTATAGTTCATTCAGAGAAAATGACTAAGAAGAAGGCTCGGTTTGGTGCTCTTCCCAAGTTGAACATGCCGAAAAAAACTCACGAGACTCCAAAACCCGAGCAAAGACCTGAGCGAACCATTGTCCGGGATCTGATCAAGAAGCCGCAAGTTCATTACAAGACTTTCACGGAGTTTTGTCAGCGCTTGACTAAGCTAAAGAGCCTTCAAAACTGGAACATTGGAACATTTTCTGACAGAGCTGTCTTAAAACAGGTAGAGATTCCATATGTGCTTCCGAAGTTTGAAATCGTTGTGGATGATAGTCTAGCATTTACAGTAAGAGTTTATGGCTGTTATTTTCCGGAGGATCATCCTGTGTACCTTGATTATCGGCGTACAGTCAGGAATATATCCATACATAGTCTTGCTGAACTGTTGGGGGAGAACTACAGTTTGTGTTGTGGAGTTGACACACTAGAGATGACAAGCACACTGTTTCATCATGTTTTTCCCATGAGTGAGGGGTTAGAGGAAGACGAACAGTTTCCACACAAAGGTTACTGGAGAGTAAAGGACTGTTTGATTATATGTGGAAAACTTGAAAAGGTGTGCAGTGCATGCAAGGAATACCAAAAGTGTTCTGAAAAAGCGAAGAAGGCAAAAGACAAGCATCAGTTAACACCCGCTCATGTCAACGCTCCTATATCAAAGACTGATCCAGAGAGGATCAAACTGACTCTGCGACAGCAAAGGCTGCGATGTTATGAACTTGAAAGAGAGCTCAATGAAATGCGCAATGAATTACAGAAATCAAGCATTGAAGTAGACCATGAACTGAGCAATGACTTCGTTAAACTATTTGATTCAGCGGACAATGAAATAACTCCCTTTATGAATCTTTTCTGGCAACAGCAAAAGAAATTGTTTTCAAGTAGCTGCACTGGTGTACGTTATCACCCAATGGTGATTCGCTTCTGCTTGTCTCTTGCGGTAAAGTCACCTTCATGCTATGAGGAACTTCGAAAAAGCAAGGTTTTGGTTCTTCCAAGTCAGCGACGTTTGAAGGACTACCGAAACGCTATAAAGCCACAACGGGGCTTTCAAGAGGAAGTGATTGAGCAACTCAGGACTGAGACTGACTGCTATTTTGATGTACAACGATATGTTGTTCTCCTCTTTGACGAAATGAAAGTTATGGCAAACCTTGTACTTGACAAGACAACTGGTGAACTGATTGGCTTTACCGATCTTGGAGACCCAAACTTGAACTTTGGAGTTCTTGAGAAGGTTGATGATGTTGCTACGCATGCCCTTGCTTTCCTTGTACGCGGAATTTGTACAGAGCTTAAATTTGGCTTGGCTCACTTTGCCACTACAGGTGCTACTGCTGCTCAGTTGTTGCCATTGTTTTGGGAAGCTGTCTGTATCCTTGAGACCTCTTGCAACTTGTGGGTTATTGCTGCCACATCTGATGGTGCTTCACCTAACAGGAGGTTTTATCGGCTTCACAAGTCACTTGATGGGCAATCAGATAAGGATGTTTGTTATCGTACAACAAATTTGTTTGCACCCCATCGTTATATATATTTCTTCTCGGATGCCCCACACCTGGTCAAGACAACAAGGAACTGTCTGATGCATTCAGGCTCTGGAAAGTCCACAAGATACATGTGGAACAATGGTCTCTCTCTATTGTGGCAGCACATTACACAAATTTTCTATCAAGATTTGGACAATGGTTTGAAACTGTTGCCTAAGTTGTCATTTGAACATGTCAACCTAAATGCATACTCTGTTATGCGAGTGAACCTAGCAGCTCAAGTCCTTAGTGCATCTGTGGCTGCAGTGTTAAAGGAATTTGGGCCACCAGAGGCAGCAGCAACTTCAAAACTCTGTGAAATGGTTGATGGCTTTTTTGATTGTCTGAATGTTCGGAGTACCACAGAATATCAGAGGAAGCGCAAGCCATTTGTAGCCCCTTACCGATCTGATCAAGATGAAAGGTATTACTGTTTTTTTAACACCTGAATGGAATAACATGTAGTTGTTTTAGTCATCTCTACTTTGCTTCTCTTTGTGAGAAGTTTCAGCACAACACAAAATTTGTTTAATTTTTTTTTTCCATAATTCTATTGCTGTATACTTATTTCTATGAAAATTTTTTCCAGTGAGGTTATCATTATTTCATTGATATATACTAAAACAGTGGATAGCATAGATTTTGTGTGTGCCCAGATTGCTATCCATTCTCATTTGTGGCTCGGTAAATGTCCACCACTAGGCACATCCACTTTAGGTGAATAATGTCATTGTTATTGTAAATTTATGAGCAGCAGATGACAATCAATAGTATTAAATGTTACTTCGACAGATACGAGTGTCAGTGTTGACAGCTGAGAGTAGTTGGTGTTACTAACATTTTTGGTTGCCACTTGGTTTCAGGTTTAAGTTTCTACTGAATTTCTTGGAGTATCTGAGGAAATGGAAGGAGAGCACAGAGGAAAGGCCAGGAAACTTCAGCAAGAATGCCAGATCCCGTATGTTCCTTTCCTGGCAGACCTACGAGGGCTTCCAGATAACAGTGTATTCTGCAATTGAGGCAACCAAATTCCTGCTTCATGAAGGGATGGAGTTCGTGCTCACAGAGCGTTTCTGCCAGGACCCAGTGGAGGAATATTTTGGGAACCAGCGCAAACTGGGAAGGCGAAGTGACAATCCAGATATCCGCACATTTGGATATAACAACAACACCATCAGAATCCAGAGGACAGTGTCATGCCAGAGTGGGAACACTAGGGGTAGAAGGGATGCCTGCCATGCATGGGATCAAGTTACACACACCAAGCTTCCATGCAGAAAAAAATTAAAAATTGCTTGACTGTTTCAATACATGTACATTAAACTGGACATAATGGCATTGCAGACAACTGATTTTAGAGCAAGGGTAGAGTGGGAATGTAAAACTCCAAATTTGAATGCTTTTTTACTTTAAAAAACCACCCAAAAGAGTGATATTTCAAGTGGGCAATAATATTGCTAGAAAAGTGGTTGCTCAGGGATTATTTTCTCATAATGAGGTACTTCAAACAAAAAGTCCTTCCCTTTCCGGGCTTTATTCAGACCAAAGCGAGTATCTGTTGACTTTCCAGTTTACAGCAACCAATACATGTACATATATGCACAGTCTTCAAGTGCTTTAAGTAGGAGTTATATTTGCAACAAATGCCCAACAGAAACAGGAAAAGGAACATTTTTTAGCAGCATATGTTAGTGTTTTTTACATTCTTTTATACAGCAAAAAGTAAAAATTTAAAACAGTTCTAATGAAGCCTCTCTTGTTGTTGCTCTTCACAGCTCCTGCTTATCTCCTTGCGAAGTGCCTTAGCTTTTGATTGCTTCGTATTAATTTTATGACACTGGATAATGTCCTTGGCAAAAGAAAATGAACGCACCCTGACATACAAGTGTACAATACCATGCAAGATATCTTTGACAATGTGATTGTCTGGAACAAGTTCAGCATCAGAAACTAATAAATAGTAATTTGACAACAATTCACTATCACTCACTGATTTGCCCACAATATCAGCTATGTCAACTCGAGCCAGATTGACTGTAGATGTCATTTGTCGAAAATAATGTTCTGTTCTGATAAAAATCTTTTCTGCTGGCTTGGTTATGGACCAAAGACCTCCACGACTCAAACTTGACACCAGTCTTTGTGAATCAGACCCTGTCTCCAATTTTCCAGCTTTTAAGATTGCCATAGCATGATTGCTTTCAATTGTTGATATTTTTGCATGCTGCTTGTGTAGATTATGTAATACATAACCTCCCACATATTGAAGACCAGCCTTCTCTCTCTCTGATAACAGAGTTTGGGTTGGATGATTGCTGCTACAACAAGCCTTCGTGGACTTGCAGTATACCAGCATACTATCTGCCACCTTAGTTGCTAATAATGTTGCAGCATTGTGGGATAGTCCTGAAAAAAACTTTGTGGACTGCAATGGCACTTCTCGATGTCCTCATTTTTCAAATATCCATCATAAATTGTTTTCAGCACGGTAAATTCATCAGTTCCCTCATCAAATTGTTTGAATTGGTACAAATTCAACTCATTCCTAAGGCTTGGTGCAAAAGCTCTGCCTCTGTTTACAGTCTGTATGGCATATTTTACAATTTCAGCAAGACTGCTTGGAGTGAGAGTCGTCCGTTCCTGTCTGTCGTTTTCATTAGGGTTATGCTTAGAAGCTCTGTGTCTCTGGTAGCCTCCTCTTGTCTTGTATTTCTTTCCACATTCACTACAAACGAAATCTGCCAATTGAACCTGTGGTAAAAACGATCACAAAGTGGTCTTGGTCATTACTGCAAAATGCATGGACACTTATGGCCTTCAAAGTTAATTTAAGCTTACGTTTACGTACAGTTTTGTCATCTAGCTCGACAGTATCTTGGCGATACAAAATTTCGCGTAGTTAACTTGTCAACGTTGGGTACGATGGTCAAGTTGTTGTCAAAGAGTCGCGTATGGTACACTTAGGGTCACTACGGCCGAAATAGGCCGAAGAATTCACATAGAATATACTTACATCAATCGCTGTAGTTGAAAAGTGTTTCTCGATTGCTTCATCCTCCTCTAACATGTTCAAAATCGTTTCAAAATCGTCTCCAAACACGAAGAGTTCGTTTGTAGCATCCGCCATCTTGTTTGTTGTGTGCATGGTCAGAGTCACGTGACGGGTCAATTCAACCTCGGCTGGGACTCTATTGTTTGGGCCTTTGAAGTTCGCCGGCTTTCCCTACCAGTCCCCTCTACTAACTATGCTCCTGAAAACATCTTCTGGAAAAGAAAAAAAATCGGAGAAATTTACGGTATAGATTAAACAGAAACTTGTAAGGATTTAGCTTTTCGGCTGCCTCCATAAGTGGAGATCGAATGGTGTTAGTTAGCGATTAAAAAGCAATGGAAAAAGTAATAATTAAAGGATGTGAAATTATTATTATTTGGTAACGTCAAGGAGTTGAAAACTACAGGCGGCTACTATTTGGCTCACTACTGACCGCTTGTTAATTTCAAAACTATTGTAATATGAAATGTTTGCATTTACCGGTGAAATAAAAGTAGGACTCTTCAATAATTTTGTTTTAAGGAGTAAAACGTATAAGATGACAATTAAAACAGCCCTTCCATTTCTGATTGGTCCATTCCATGCCCAGTAAACAGGTGTCAAACTCTGTGCGTCAAAGCGTCTGACAAAAGCTCCCGAGGGTAATAATTTCCAGCTTTAATCGTGACTCTGTTAGCCCAAATGGTTTTTCAGTTGCCTGTAGATGGAGCCAAATGGTTTTCATAAAACCTCAATATATACATAATTTTTCCTTCTTAAAAGTTTGAAATATTCTACTTGTTCCAGTGAAGGAGGCAATTAAAAGTCTCATACAGCGACTGAGAAGATTGTTGAATATTTTAACGGCAGACTTCAATAACTCCTTCATTCCACTCTTTGTCGGAATAATTTTTGACACAGCAAAGAGCCAAACCTGCAACAGAATGGATGCGAAAACTGCGACGAATTGCAGTATTGCAGCGAATTTCACCGGGAATTTATCACTTCGTCCAGCTGTCCAGTCAGTACCGTTGGGACCCGAGGTAAGTCCATTTGACGAGTTTTTCAAGTTTGCCTTCGGATCAGCAATTTACATTATCATCGCTTCCTTCGTAACCGTCTTAGCCAACGGTTTGTTGCTTGTCGTTTTCTTCTTCGATCCATTGAAGACATTTCGCACTGCCACTACCTATTTCCTAATCGGTCTTGCCTTTGTGGATATCTTAACAGCCGCCTCGCAAGAGCCCATGTACGCTACATGCTTCATAATGATGTATCTTAGACATCCTGACACCCTAGCAACGTGCACACCTCTTCTGAATGTGGGCCAAGTGATAGCTGTTGCAGCCATGAATGCATCCTTTCTGATAGTACTTGCTTTCACAATTACACAGTACATTGTGTTGGCCTCGCCGCTGAAATACGGCCGGCGCGTTACAAAATCGCGCGTGGTTATCTGTGTTTTGGCTATATACGCGTACTCCATATTGTTCAGTCTCTTTCCTGTTATGAGCCTCACTGAAGAGATCGTGCAAAAGATCGATAACATTTTTCACTCCATTACATTGGTCTACGTCACTATTATCTTTTACATTCTGCTGTACGTCGCCTTTAGGAAGAAAATGGCTGCTTCTAAAAGTCTTCAAGAACACAAGACCACACAAGATAGAGTTAGAGACAATAAACAAACAGGGGTGGAACGCAAGTTTATCATCATCAATTTTCTCCTAATCGCCATCTTGTTTTTGACGTCTCAGCCGTCTGCCGTTTTATGGATTTACCGCTTGTATTCCAACGAAGATCCCAACACTCCAAGAGTTCTTATCGTCAATCTAATGTTGGCGGACAACCTGCTTTACTTGAAATTCCTGCTCGACCCGTTTGTCTACGCATGGCGAATACCCAGATATCGACGGGCGCTAAAATATGTCATGCGCTGTGGCAGAGAGGAACCTGAGGAGACCTTCAGTGACCGCGTCATGGCTCAGGTTAGCAAGTCACGTGAAACAGTGGTAGCCCTGGACTTTAAATGCATTAAGGGCTAAAACTTTGATATTAGTTTAAGGTTTAGAGAGGCTATTTGAAAAATGTAGAGTCTTGCAAGCCTTTTATTCAATCTTCTTATCACCATAGCCTCTATACCTAGTCTCAAACTCTTTTTTTTTTAAATTTCTGAGATTCTGGGATCCGAACCCACTCTCTACTTCCAGAGAAAGCTAGAGCTGCGTTAAGATTTCTTCGTGAGCAAGAAAAACCACTTTCTGAAGCTGATAAGTTGCCAAAACATACACAAAATAGGAAATCGAAACCACAATCAGTCCCGAATGGTTATCAAACTTGACAACCATGTGACGTCACAATATGGGGACCATTTCAGAACTCGAAGATATTCTTACTCAATGCGAAATGTTCGTTATTTATTCGTTTTTCTCGCCGTGAATAACCATAACTCTATTGGAAATTAATGAATAGATTATGTTCTTCGCTCTTCTTCAAGATGGTGGTCATGAATGTGTAATAGAGACGACATTTTGGGTAGAGAAGTAACAGGGCACTTGAAATGACGCGTGTGATCGAGGTGTGTTCTTCAATTTTGCCTTAAGGTTTAGGGTAGTAAATTAACTTTTACGAAGTAAAAAAAAATTATAGAGCTTATCCTCAATCTATTTTCTTCCGATGTTTATGTTATTTATCGTGATGCAAACTGCACCAGAATAGTGCATGAAGTGGTCTTTATTTACGTCCACCTAATCACCAACTGCCATTTTTAATTTTCAACGATGCTTTTCATCTTTCTGTTCATTATGATAACATTGTGATTCCTTATCAATGTTCTATACTTAGTTTATATGGAACCTTTTTTTTAAGACAACGATACTTCAAACGAGAGCGCGCTGTCATAGACTGTTATCCTCCGTTGGAGGGTTGACCTTACTTAAATACTTTAATGCATCAAGAATTATATGGGGATACTCCTAAAACAGTGTACAATGTACTAGGAGTAAATATAGTAAATAAATAAATAGAAGAGATAATTATTTGGATGCCAATCTTAATATATCTACATTACAAAATTACCATTTACGAGAATTAAATACAGTTAATAAAAATGGAAACAAGAATGTATATCATTGTAAGATAATCGTGGATCCAATGGTTGGCATTACATACTGGTAAAGGGAAAAATATCTGTAGTTACAGGTAACTGATTCTAGGCTACCATCAAACTTGGGTAAAACGAATATAAACTTATAAACATTGTAACTGGTCTGAATATTACGAAAGGGGAATGCATTACGGACTCAAGAAGCCCTTTAAGAGGACATGCTTCAAATGAAAGGGGGATACCAACTGAGCCTTGTTGAATTTTATAACACGTGGATGATTGGTAGGAAAGTCTAATTTGCCAAGAGTGTCCCAAACAAGATGATATAACATGGGAGTAACATGACAAAAATTTTGCTTCTAGTCGCTCTATGCCAAGGAAACCGAGTTATTAAGCTCCCGTTGGATAGGCCTCATGGCTCAAGTGCAGACCTTACTTTACCTTACATGGTTGCCATAAGTCAAAAAATTACTTTTAAAAAGTCGTTGTAGTTTATTAGCTATAACTATTTTGAAAAGGTGTCGGTAAAGTCTGGCAATTTCTTTCCAAGTCAGAAACCTAGTGTTTTTGAGAAATTTAAGGGAAAAGGAAACATTTTCTATCGATTAAAGTACTTTCGAAGGTTTTATAGACACGAAAGGTTAAAGCACTAAATTGAGTTTCAATGAATAAAAAAATTAATTTGGTTTTAGAGGTACCTCATCCACATAGTCGGCTCTTTATCTATCAAATTCCAAAACTGGCTAGCAAATAACATACATATACGACTCTGCTGTAACGTTGATCACTTGATAATAGAAGTGGGCGATTTTGGCTTGGCACTGACGACTGAAAGGTGATGATTAAGATAAAGATTCACAAGATAACACCCTTAGATATACTTGTAAGCCTCCGTTATTGCAAGGTTTGGGTTTGTCAGCTTATGTCTTAAGTAGAGATCGCAAGCTCTTCGTAGGTGGATGAAAAATGTAGCCATTCGAAAAAGCAGTGATGAAAAGGTTGTACAATGTCAATCATAGCAATGAAGGATTAGAAATTTTGAAAAAATACTGTCTTTTCAAATATCTGTTGTTACTGGTGAAATAAGGAGTTAATTTATGACAAAATTTCCCTTTCCTGTAAAAAATGTTCATTTGTTGATATAGATGACAAGGATAGCACAGGTGAAGAGGTAAATGTTCCTGTTTGTTATCAATGTCTGATCGGTCCATACCTCTTGAAAATAATAAACAGGCGCCTTACCCGCGCACAAGGTTCCTGACACAAAAGTTAAGGACGAACGGACGCTTTCAGCCTAAATTACGTAACAACAGCGACTGACTTAGTTTAACTTTTAAATGCGGGTTGGGCCAGGTGGTTTTGTCGAACTTCTTTAAAAGCACAAGTTTTTATTCTTAAAAATTTATCAAAACACTCTTTGCTCGACCGAAGAGGTAATTTAACAGTCCTGGACAGCCATTAAGACGACATTTGATGGAGCTGTGGTTTTGGGTTCTCAGCTTGTTTCTTTGCATCCTCACGATAGTTGGAAATGGATTTGTCATCTTCCTCGTCTGCAGAAAACGTCAGCTTCGCACCGAAACCAACACATTCATTGTATCCTTAGCAGTGGCTGATTCGGCTGTGGGAATGATTGCTGCTCCTTCGTATTTTCTCTGTAACATGATAAATGAGTGCATCTCCGATAAAAAAGCAAGCTCATTCGTGATAAATGTATGGGTGTTCATACTTTACGCTTCTGGAACAAACTTGTTTAGCTTAGTTCTGGAACGCTATATCGCCGTCGTGAAACCGTTGAAATACATAACTTTTATGACTAGCCGCCGAGTCATTCAGATGGTTCTTACATCTTGGGCAATTCCTTTTCTTTTCGCTATTATTTCATTTGCGATGAGACTGAATTCATTCCATCGTCTCAGCGCTTATTTTCATCTCTTATTCGAAGTAATCCTGTGTGTGATTTTTATCTTTTGCGTTGCATCCATGTTTCTTGTTGTTTACAAGAACTCTAAAAATCGCATTTTACCCAAGCAAATGCAGTTAAACAAACGGTTCGCTAAAGTTAAAGCTCAGAAGACCTCAGCAGTAAAATGGCTGGCTTTGGTAACGTTTGTATTTCTATCCTGTTACGGATTATTCACGCGTTGTAGTTTATTGGTTATAACTGGTCATCAGTGTGAAGATTTTCATTACAAAGTTCCTCTACAAGTTATTAACTCTGGCATAAACCCCATAGCTTATGCCCTCTTCAAAAGGGACATAGAGCAAGAATGTAAAAGGCTCTTTTTCAAAAGGCGTCTCTGATTATTCCTCAAACCAGTTTTTAGTTAAGAAAAACTTCATTTGATGAATTAAGTGATTATCTCCCCTTAGATCTCGGCGATGTCCGGCTGTGGATCCATCCCCAATGTACTGGTTCTTATCTTCGTTGATTTTTAACAGTGTAATATTGTAGCTTCGATATTAAATTTATTTCTAAGATTTAAGACCTTGTGATGAATATAACGAAGAATTCCATTGCTGGAGCGCGATATTTTTTTCTTTAAGCATTGAAGTTACTTTGTATTTTAGTGTGAGAAAGATCTGATTCTTAACACTAAGAGCTTGCTTTACGTGTGATAATAAAACTGTAAACACATATGATATTCTTTCTCTATTGATAAGCTTATCTTTGACGGTCAATTCGAAAACAAACTTCTCCTTCGGGTAATTTTTGAAGGGTGCCGTAAGTGACAATGCTGTAACATTTCCAAGCTTTTCCATTCCATAGAAACTTTTTAGGGAGATGATTGACTAACTGTGAAAATTATTGGAACTATGAAAAAGAAATTATGAAAGGCGAGTTCTTTCAGGAAATTTGACACCGTGAAAGTTTCTTGATAAGTGTTCGTGACAGATTTTTGGCTTTTTTAGTGTATTAGGCAAACAGTTTTTCTACGAAAGGTGGCGATTTTGGAAAGGTAAAGATAACCAAAGAGATAGGGTTTCACATGATGACAACGCGAGATATAATAATTGCTCCAGTTCAAACAGGATATTGGATAAAACTTTACTTTGCGATTCACACCTGCTGTTTTAGCTTTAATGGCCGTTTTTATGCCAGAGACGTTAAAGTTGTCTAAGACGTTAAAGTCGTCTCAAGACGAATTTAACGTCAAGTATAATATCGTTTTTATTCTTGATGTTAAATTCGTCTCGAGACGACTTTAACGTCTTAGGCAACTTTAACGTCTCTAGCATAAATGCATCTAATGAGATCTTAGCTGACAAAATCCTTCGCAGTTAGGCGGCTATTTTTTCATATATTCTCTGGTGATAGCCTAATGTAAATGAGATTGAATTATTCGATATTGCTGGTGTCAACTTCTTTTTTCCATGGAAAGCTCTCGACACTGAAGTAACGTCGGCATAAAACAGAATTCTAGCTTTTAACCTTGTTTTATTTTGATCAATAAGTTTATTTTCCATGGTTCTACAATACAACTGTCATTCAATTCGTATGACACCTCTATCTGCTCCTATTTTACTTCCCTACTTCCATTATTACGAAATGAAAGAATCAACCTCACTCTGTTATTTTTTAAGTTTTCTTGACATGTCTTCGTGACTGGTTTTAATTTCCGCTAGCGCTTTTAGCAAACAACATTTCAGTGAAATGGCAGAATTACCTTTTAAGGGAAAGATGGTAATATAAAGGTTTACAAGATGAAAATCTGAAATATATTCGAAAACCTCCGTCATTGCGAGGTTGCTTGGTTTCGGTTTCTTAGCGGTTACTTAGAGTAGACGTCAAAGGGTTTAGTTGGTTGATTTAGAATGTAATCATTGGAAAAATCAGTAATTGAAATATGTCAAATTTACTAATTAAATCGTATTATAACATAGCTTGTAACTTTGTCTAATCAAATTCAATTGCGTGAGCGTGCTTCATATTCCTATTGTGCACGCTCATGACGTCAGCAAACAAATCTCTCGAGAAAAGAAATTTTCCTTCGGGTTGAAAATGTTATAAAACAATTGGTTCATACGTCATCTTTGCGTTCATCGAGATATGAAACACTTGGGAAGTTTGGAGAACATTCAAGAAGCTAGAGTTGCTCTCGGCTACGCCTCGAGCAACTCTTACGCATCTTTCGTGCTCTCCAAACTTCCCACGTGCTTCATATCACGATGAACGCACGCTGACGTATGAACCAAGTGTTAAATGTCAATCACTTGAGAATAAAAGGGGGCAATTTGGGCCTTTTATTGAATGGTTGATAATAATGAAATTATCGTTATTTTAATTAATTGTTTCTAACAGGGAAATAGAAGGCTAATTTTCATCAATTCACATCTCATTTCCACTATTGTGCAATACTAATATTTTCAAAATGGGACTCTGCTGTCACGCGTCATCACACAATTTTCATTTGTTGGTATAGATGACGAGAATAGAACACGTTCGATGATGAAGTAAAACATTCCTGTTTTGTCGTCAATTTTTGACTGGTTTATACTCTTTGCGAACCATTGAACAAGCGCAAAGTGTCCCTAAAAAATGTTAAAGAGTAATGGATGCTTGCAGCCTTAGATGCGACTTAATTGAAGAAAGGTTATTGTCCTAATTAGCTTTAAGGCAGACGTACAGACGGAGCTGGATGGTTTTACATAGAACTTCTATATGAACACAAATTTTCATTATCAAAACTCTCTCCGCGCGACTAAAGGAAGCAATTGAAAAGCCCAATACAGCCATCAAAACGAAACTTAATGTAAACGTGGTTTTGGACTCTCGTTTGCTTCCTATCCATCCTCACGATGGCTGGAAATGGATTTCTCATCATCCTCGTTCGCAGTAAAGGTCAGCTTCGTACCAAGACTAATATATTGATTGTGTCTTTAGCAGTGGTCGATTTTTGTGTTGGGATGATAGTTGTCCCTTCACGTTTTCTCTGCGGCATGGCAAACAGCGCATTTCCAATGACACAGCAAGCTTAATTGGGATTTATGTAGGAGTACTTTTAGTATACGCATCTGGGTCAAATTTATTCAGTTTAGCACTTGAAGGCTATATCACCGTGGCGAAACCTTCGAAATACCTGACATTTATGACAAGCCGCCGAGTCATTCACATGGTTCTTACATCTGGGGAATTCCTTTTCTTTTCATCCCGACTATAGCTTCGATCCAATTCAATTTAATCTTTCGTGTTAGAGGCTCTCTGTGTTTGTTTTTCGAGGTAATTTTATAGGTAGTTTTAATGTTTTGCCTCGCATCCATGTTTCTTGCTGTTTTCAAGAACTCTGGAAAAAGTCGTTTAGCAAAACAATTCCAGTTTAATCAACGCATTGTCAAGTGAGATCGGGCACAACTTCGACTGTGTTTTTAGACTTTTCGATTCATCCAAATATTTGACAACTTTGAGGTCAAATATCTCCCGTTACCAGAAAGCCACAACACTTATCTTAATTACCATTTATAACCCATTATTTCATCTCTGAAAATCTTAGGGCACTACCGTATTTTTGTCTTGGATGCCTTTTAAAATCTGCGACTGTGACAAGTTTCTCTCAACTAAACCTGTCACGAATTCTTGCTTTAGGGGGTCACTTGACTAAATAAACCCACAGCTTCATTGTCTTTGTCTTTGTTAGGATGCTTTTGGAAGGCAGCCAATAACTGAAACGTCTTGATACATCCTTCTTTTTAGCAAGAATATCTCGCTTTCTTGTTCTGTCAGAGACGGATTGGGTATAGTTCTCGCGTTTGGAAATCTGTGCACGTTGCTGATAACCAACCGCTTCTACGATTAGTTTGCTGAAGGTTTCTAATGTGATGAGCCCAGTGAGACCCTGAGGTGCCCCAAACTGTGCCAGTTGGTCTGCGCTATAAACTTGTCGCAGTTCTTTAGTCAGAGGGAGGATCGCCCACCTCTGTTTATGTAACGCCTCTACAGTACCTGCGTATCCCTAGCAATCATATGATATAAAGTTCATCTCAGTCACAAATCACTAGTTAGGAAAACTGATGTTCAGATAAGCGCTCTTCTTGCCCTTCTTCCTTATTCATTGCCGACTGTAAGATAGCAGTTACAGTACGCGTTCCATTAGGTTTACAGTCACCTTGCCACCAGGAAGACTCGCCACCAGCTTTGACTTCATCTGCCATCTTCTGATTCACCTCTCTCTCAACTTTATGTCTCCGATTTTCATGAGGAGGATACTGGTATTTACGAACCCGAAGTTCTGAATCTCACACCAAGTTGTGAGCGATATTTGAGGTAAATCGTGAAATCGCGGCCTTCGTAATCTCCAAATAAGCCGATACGCGCTAGAATAGGCTTCTCCTCGGACGAAACGCATGTTTGATATACATCGATGTCTCTCAAGTGTTTTTTTTTTTAAGATTTCTACCCACGAATTTAGAGGTATGAGATGTTGCCGTCCCTGGCCAGGGCGAGAAAAATAACATTTGGTTCTACAGTTAGTTGCAAATGAACAAGACAACTGCACCATCTTGACTCTATCAATACGAGTGTTAGGTTGAATTGAGGACTTTTTAGACACTCGATTTTTTATATGGCATCCCTATGAAGACGTTATACAACTGATACACCTACACTACATAGGATTAACAATGTCTGTTGCGCTGTTGCTAGAAGGAGGAAAATATTACTGGAAGTGTAGACTCTTTAAGAGTTTCAGAGACGTTTCAGAGATGTCTACGATACGCCGGTTGTTTCAATTTTGCTTTTTCCTCGGACTGCTATAAAACAGTTCATAAATTGACCAATGAATAAAATGTTTTGAAATACCGTTCGGAATTGGCCTTTTTTTTATGCGTGCAAATCAAGGGTAGACAAAGTTTTTAAAACATTTGACAAGAATTTCATGGGGTTCCCCTCGATAATTTTAGTCTGCCAGAGTCAA